TCAAAGTCTTCAGGCAAAGACTGGAGGACCATCTGTCTAGTACGTTATAGATTGGTGGTTCTCAAACATTCTAGTCTTAGGACTTCACACTCTGAAAAATTAGAGGACCTCAATGAGCTTTTGTTTATGTGGATTATATTATTAATATTGATCATATTAAAAACGAAAACTGCTAAATTTTTAAATAATTATTGGCTTATTTTAAAATAACAATAATGAAAATTCCATTAACATCAATAACATGCTAATGAAAAATAACTACATTTTCCAAAATTCAAAAAGAATTCACGAGAAGAGTGACATTGTTTTAGATAGTTTTGAAAATCTCCTTAACGTCTGGCTTAATAGAAAACAGCTAGATTCTCACACCTGCTTTTGAATTCAATCAGTTGGGAAATGTTGTTTTGGTTGAAGTACAGCAAGAAAATCCAGCCTCACACAGACATGTAGTTGGAAAAGGGAATATCTCAGGCAAATGATATCTTAGTATTATTACAAAAAGAGTTTTGACTTTGTGGACCCTCTGAAACAGTCTTGGGGACCTTCAGGGGTCCATGGACCAATGCTTTGAGAAGCTACTGTTGTAGAGTACACATTTTCCAAAAGGATTCCTTTTCAGATACAGGTCAGACTGGGTGGCCTTTGAGGTCTCTTACAACTCTGAAATTCTACGGCAGCCCTTACAGTACTACCCTTATCTACAATAATCCTTTCTACCACTTTGCTAATCCTCAACCTGGAATGTAATTCCCATTCCTATCCACCAATTCAAGTCCCACACACACATTTTTTAAATATTTCCTCCATGAAGCCTTCCTTGATATCTTTCCCTTCTCTGAGTTCCCCAACAATTAGGTTTTCTTTTGAACACATCATTTATCATTGCTTATACACTATCTTTTATTATTCTCCACTTTATCTCCCTGGCTAGTTCATTAGGTTCCTCCAGTGACTGTCACATTTAATTATCCTGTGGCACTGACACTTAGCATAATACTAGGTGGCCAGCAAATGCTTAATTAATAAATATTTGATTCTGGGCTTTTAAGTGTATGAGGAAAAGTGCAACATCCAGAATTGCTGGGTCAGCACAAAAGCGGCACACTTGTGGATCTTTGTTCCACAGAGGCCTGAGAGTAAATGTGTAGGGTTTTTGCCGCCCCCTCCCCCCTGGTCTTATAATAAAGGCTGGATGCTTTTTGTTCCTTCCTTGTCATCATGTTATTCATCAGAAATGAGAACTTTTAACACAGTTCGCATGAATAAAACCAGAAGCAGTTAAAAAAAAAAGGTCTTTACATAGTTGAGAGAGAGATCTATTTAAATAAATGACAGGAGCACAGAATTTCTTTTAGTGGCTGCTACTGCTGTCCTTGCTTATTAATCCAGGATTTGAACTGTAAGTAACTTACAGTTATGAGGGGGACATAAAGATCCAGCAGAATTGTTTTACTCAGCTCTGCTAGTTACCGCATATTTCTGAATTAAACATTGCATTAACTTGACTTGCATGTAAGCAAAAGAGAAACAATAAAAGGTAGTTCTGAATCAGAAAAGTCATGCTTTTCCTTATGTTTTCTCTGGTTTATTTTTAATGGCACTATCTCAAGGCAGGAAGGACAATATAAATCCTCCACCTGCCCATGGGTCAATAACCAATAATACAATGATAGCAATCACCATTGGCCTACTTTACATATAGCTTTCGATTCATTTAATCTATAGAAAAAGGGTATGTTCTGAAGATAATTTCAGGGTCATCAAGGGGGACAGAAGCTGTTAACAGTCTTTCATGGATCAGGTATAAAAATACCTGCCAATATTTTAAAAAGAAAACTCAATGAACTAAACCTGACTGACATAATCTAGAAAGCAGAACAGCCAACTGAATATACTTTATCAGAAGTCTCACTACCAAGAAATCTCCATCTCGGCTCTTCTGCCAACCAGATCTGATGCAGACAGGTAGGGACAAGCTAAAAATAGTCACTGTATTGCAGCTGGAAAAGAAATCACAGCTTCCCTCAGTTGCTGATGCAGGATAGGAGAGTTAAAAGTTTGAGTGTGTAAGAGAGAAAATGTGTTTGCATGTGTGAGAGGGAGTGAGAAAAAGAGAGAAGTGAGAGAGAAGAGAGGAGAGGTGAGAGAGAGAGGAGAGGAGAGAAAGAGAAGAGGGAGAGGAATCTGGGAATCACGTGCATTAAGATGATAACCATGGAAGCTAATGAGATCACCCACCGAGATTATATATGGAGAAAAAAAAAGAGGGTCTGGAACAGAGCCTTGAGGGAAACCTATGGAAGAGGAATCATCAAACGAGACTGAGAAGGAGTGGTCAGACAGGTAGGAGGAGAACCAGGAGAAAACAACGTTATGAAAAACCTTGAGAGAGAGAGTAAGCAGGATGAGACAATCCAAGGTAACAAGAAGGAAGGATACCAGGATATGCCTTGTTCCCCACATCTTCACATAATCTCTCTGCTGATCACTCCCAATCCCAAGAATGAGGCCCCCAGGCATTGCCCATAATTGTCATCATGTCCTGCACCTGTGTACATCATAAATGGTCCCTTCCCTCCATGAGGAGGGAGCAGGCAACAAGGGAGAGGAAAGGACAGACTTGGCCATTTTGGCATGACTAACTTACCACTAGGTATAGCGCCGGCTTCCTAGACCATAAACCCAAGTCTCCTAACCCTCCTTTCAAATTCCCGGCCAGCACTCACTTTGACAACCACAAGTTTTTAACCAATTTCACACGACAAACGGTGCCAAGTAACTGGAGCTACAATAGGGGCTGGTTCTATAATTCTGGAGAGTCTAAATCCTGATCATCCCAGGAAATAACAGCTTCCGTGGCTATGAGGGTCCTGAAGCTAAGCCTCAGTTGTTGCTGTTTGGTCATTTCAGTCATGTCCAACCTTGTGTGGTCCCATCTGGGGTTTTATTGACAGACATACCGAAGTAGTTTTCCAGATCATTTTACAGATGAGGAAACTGAGGCAAACAGGGTTAAAGTGACAGCGAGTAATTGAGGCCAGATTTGAACTGAGGGAGATGAATTCTCCTGACTCCTGGCCTGGCTGGAGTCACTCTCCACTGAGCCACCCAGCTGCCCCCAATATGGCTCCTTAACATCCTCCTCTCCAAAAGAAAGGACCAGTGAAGCAGGGTTTCTCTACTCCATGAAAGGGTGGATGGATCCTGAGATGAGGAACTTGTATTATATATAATTTTTTTTAACCTTCTGTACTTAACTCAACACTTTCAGGATTTGGTACGGACAATCTCTCCATGGACACAAATTACAGATCTTCATTGATGCAGTCGGTAGTTTCAGGAGTTGCTGCTTTGGCCAAAAACAACTCCTCACCTGCTGGCCGACCCTCCGGTGATGGTGCTTCCCTTCCCTTAGCTAGCTAGGCTGGTTCTCAGACATACAATTCATCACTGGGCACATATTCAAAGTATTTTCAGTCTGGGAGGACCTGTCAGAGCTTGTGCCCCACTGGCAGAGGCTTGGAGAGCTTGGCATCACCCACCTCACTGGGATAGGCCTTTAGCTCTGGACTTTTGGGGAAGCTTTATCTAGCATAAAATAAAGGTATCTAACAGTTTCAGTGGTGGTGTCACGTACAGACAGTCAGCATTAAAGTTAGGAAAGTCACAGGATCTTAGATTTAGAGCTGGAAGGGAGCTTAGAGGTCAAGTCTTAATCCCCTTATGTTACCAATGAGAAAACCAAGGCTTGGACAGATGAGTGATTTTCTCGGGGTAAAACACTATGGTTAAGTATATAAAGGTAGAATTTGAATTTGGGCCTTCCTGGCCCAACCCTTCCTGGGTTCAGATTCTGCCTCTGACACATACTAGCTATGTGAACTTAGGCGGGTCACTTACACTCCCACTGACCAAAGGAACTCTAAGTTTCTAAGTTAACACATAAATTCCCAATTTATATCCACAGAGATTTACATTAGGAGTTCCCCACACCAAGAGGTCCAAACAAAGAAAAAAGTATTTAAAACAAATTTTTTACATTCCTCTAAAGAGCATCATTAGCTTTCAGTTATCTGATGAGAAACAAAAGTAAACTTTCCTTAAATATTAAAAGACTGTCTGGGAGGCTCCCAGCTATTGCTCAGTTCTAATCCCACACTTCTCAATACATATTCACCTTTGCCCAATTACTCCTCAAAGAAGTTGGTTTTCAAAGGGTAAAATTAAAATCAGGAGGATGGAAATCAGTATTCTCAAAAAGATTTCTGAATAAAAATCTGATTTTTGTGAGTCAATCTCTCCCTTCCACAGCACTTCATTAAAAAAATTCAACTCTTTGTTAGGTGACATCACAACTGGTTACTGCAGAAGTCATAAAATTAGTTTCTATAAAAATAAACTTATTTCATTATCAATACTTTGGATAAAACAACATGCCACGTAAAAGAAAAAAAGCATTCCAGAATAGTATTCCAAGAAATAGAGTATCCAAAGGAAGCCTTCAAAGTCATAGAAATTTGAAGAAAAAAAAAAAAAGGCACACAGAGAGACCTGGGCACACACCAAAAACAAGAGAAATCAAGAAACAATTTTTTTTGGTGCCTTAGAAACACATTATAGTTTCCTAAATCTCTACCAAATTACTTCAATGTGTTCTGCTAACATTTAAATAACACCCCCCCCCCCCATTATTGGAAAACATCAGTAAGTGGGAAAACCTTCTGAGTTGCTTACTAAAACCTTTTCTCCTTCCCCCTCTTTTCTCTGACCCAAGTCCTTCTCTGGAAACTCAGTTTTTTTTTCCTCCAGAACACACTCACAGTTGAAGATGGGCCATCACTGACTTCACTCAGAAGAAGCCAAATCAAATAGTCTCATCTGAAACGTGCTACCTGCTCGAAATCTTGCACATGCACATATACACACCCACCAACTCATCCACTTCTACCCTGCAGCTTGAGGTCTGATTTCTTCATCTGCAGGTCGCTGGCCATTCGTACCTGTCATGATCCTCTGGGCTTCGTAGGGCTCCATGTAGCCAGTGCTTTCCCCCTTTCCTGCTTTATTCTTCAGCTCGCTCTTGGCATCAAAGGGATCTGAGTAATCGTCTGCAATGATAACCTGAAATGAGAAAAATTTCACTCATGTTATTGCTACTGTTTATCTATTTGAAAACCAAAGGTTGGGCCCCAAAGCATCAGTTAGTAGAGTGCCAAAAAATTAAATAAAGCAAGAGAGTCCCCAGAAGTACGTTTCCTAGTGGTTCTAGAACACACTTTCCTTACTGGACCACAGAGAGCCCCAAAATGCACAAATTCTTCCCTGAAGATAATTATTGTACAATATTCTTTTATCTCTCCTCCCCTTCCAATCTGGAATGCAATTATCTCTTGGGTTAGCAGAAAGCAATTTAGTGAGATCACTGTACTTTGAAAGAGGTGTTAGCAAAGAAGTAGAAACAATGGGTACCCACTAAAAACTAGAGGGTGGCTCAAAATAGTGTATTAGTGTTAGGGAAAATTATTATGCAATAAGAAATGACAAATATAAGGACTTCAGAGAAGCATGGGAAGATATGTATGAAGTGATATAGAGTAAACTAAGAGCAGTTCAAAGAACCCCAATACACTTTAATGACACGAATGACAATATCATTAAAAGGAAGTCAAATTCTGTCACCACCACTCATTCGCCTTCTCCTCCCAACAGCTTTCATTTCTCAACAGATGATGAAACAAGGATCACTGGCCTGTGGACCAGTTCTCATGAAAAGCAATCTCAGATTGGAATCAGGGGACCTGGAATTTAAATCTTGGCTCTCCTACTTATTTCTTGTGTGACCTCAGACAAATTACTTAATGTTCCTGGACTTTAGTTTTCCTCCTCTGTAAAGTTTGGGAGTTGGTTTAAATGACTTTTGGGATATCCCCAATGAGAAAACAGGAATGGGTCAGATGACAGACAATGAAACATCTCTCTATTCTCACCACAGAGGCAGGTGACTACTGGGACAGAAAATTTTATACACCATTGGATTCTTTGTACTTCTTTCTCCAGTGCCTGGAATATAATAGGTGCTTGTTGGTTGATTAACACTGTTGATTGATTAAGTTATTGAGTTCAGATTTGACCTCAAGACACTTACTAGCTGTGTGACCCTGGACAAGTCACTTAACTCTGATTACCTCAAAAAAAAAAAAAAAGAAAGATTTATCAAGTTTACCAACTGTCCTGCCTTTTCATATTCTCAAGAGCATATTTAAATACACATTCATCTACACAGTACACACATATAGAGACAATCACTACCGATGAAGTCCTGTAATATTTTTGGAATAAGGCTGCTGTAGTCTCTAAACTGGAGGGTGGCCCCCTCTCACCCAACACACAGCTTTAAGTATCATGTTTACCATGATACCAATGTATATCATTGAGCCAATAGCATCAATAAGAAAAGAAACAAACTTTCTTACAACTCTGACCCTTTCTGTCTCACCTCCCTCAGAACTCTTTCTATCTTTGAAGGAAGATGACAAGAGCCAAATTAGAAAGCAATGGGAAAACAATGGTTACTTGAGGTCCTGAGGGCTGCCACCAACCATGAGCACTCAGGAAGGTCTGCTAAGATTCCACTTGAACAGTAAAAGCTCCTGCTGACAGAAACTTTACTGCCAGTGTTCCCCTTCGCTAATTAAAGGGCACCCTTCTCTCTGGACCCCGGGCCAGGTTTTCATCACATTCTTCTTGCAGTATAACCTCTAGTTACACAGGATAGGAAACCAGCATTCTCACCCTTACACCTGTAAGACATGAGATTCACATCTGGAGCTTAAAGCTTAGATTAAGATCTAGAAAAGTTCATTTCTCTAAAATTTAGGGCAAGATGGGTTTTTTCCCCCCTTAGTTGTAAGAGAAATCTATTAACCCTTCAGTTATAGGGTCACCTTCTGTTACTGAAAAATAGGGTTTAAAAGCTGACATCCTCTTGACCCACATTCAATTCAGTAAGTGTTTGTCCAGTGCTTATACTATACAATAATAGAGGCAGTACGGGATAGAGGAGAGAGGGAAGGTCTAATAGACCTGAAGAAATAGATTTAAATCTTAACTACGACCCTGGGCAAGTCATTTACTGACTCAGGATTCCAAACAATTCTCCAATGAATGAATGAAACACATGAAAAATCATTTATTAAGTGGTTACTATGTGCAAAGACTATAAATTACAGAGGAGTTGCCAATCTGCACTAATGGAAGGAGTTTCCACAGTGGAAATTTTCAAGATCAATTTGGGGTAGAGGCTGAAAAATGTGGAAGTCACTGTGCATACAAAGAAAAACATTTCCTGTCCTTGTGGAATTTACCTTCTTGGGAGGAGGGGAAAGGGGAATACAACACTAAACAGGTAATATAATTTAGGGAAAGAGAGGGAAGGAAGGAGGGGGAGAGGGAGGAAGAGGAAGGGAAAAAGGGAGAGGAAGTAACAGGGAGAGAAGGAGAGAGGAGATAGGGAGAGGGAGAGGGAAGGAAGAGAGAGGGAGGGGAAGAAAGTGAGGGGGAAAAGAGAAGGACAGAAGAAGAGGGAAGGAGAGAGGAGGGGAGAGATAGGGAGGGAGGAAAGAGAGGGAGAGGGAAAAAGAGGGAGAGGGAAAGGGAGAGGGAGGGAAGCAAAGAGAGAGAGAAAGACAGAGACAGAGAGAGACAGAGAGAGAGATAACTAAGAACTAGGGAGATAAGGAAAGGTTCCCTGTAAGAGGTGGCACCTAAGCTAAGCCCTGAAGGTAGTTTGGGGATTTGTAAATGGACAAGGGTGAAGAGAGGTTGGGAAAAAGGATCCTTTGTTTTACTTAACCACTGCAATGAATGGCTTGTTATTGCAGCTTTCCTAGTGAACTCCATGACAAAGACCACAGGTTGTCTGCCAGTAATGTATGCAGGCGCTGTAATCAGCAGTCCTGTCAGAGGGTGTCAGCGCTGGGTGCACTTCACACAAAGACAACAATGTGCATCAGGCAGCAGCAATTTCTCCTCAGAACAAGAGCAGGTTTCTCAGTAAAAGCCCCAGAGCTAAAACACCATCCATTTACTTTCCTGATGCCGCCTTGTCAAGAACTGATGGATAGCATCTCGGGCTCCCTGCTATGCTCCGATTCCAGATGCTGACATCGTAATAGTCTCCTTTCTTTAAAATAACAGCACTAAAATGACATGAAACAGCAAAGGAGTCTAATGTGGATAATGTCTTTTATTTGATATTTCTACTTTGCCATTTGCAGAAAACATTAGGGGGAAAATTATACACATGAACTGCTGTCAAACAGGATAATATCAGATGCTGATTTGGTTTAAATACAATGGTAACATCTTTCAAAGTTCAAGAGACCAGAAGGCAGAATGAATAAAATAACAAACTTTCTCTCTGAGATTTGATCTCATTTCTCGTCTTGATCTTCCTTTCTGTCTGTTTCATACATACAACAGTATCTTCAAGTCAAGTTAACAAGCATTTATTAAGTGCCTACTATATGCTAGGCACTGTGCTGAGGATACAAAGAAAGAAAAAAAAGCTCCCGGCCCTCAAGGAGTTCACAGTTTAAAAGAGAAGATAATGTGCAAACAGTTGCATATAAAGAAAAAATATATGGGATAAACTATAGATAGGCATGAAGATTAATAAAGAGGACAGTAAAGGCTTCTTGTCAAAGGGGCGGACTTTAGCTGAATCTTGAAGGAAGTCAGGGAATCTGGGAAATAGAGATGTGGAGGGAGAATGCGGAAAGCGGACAAGTATTTTTTAAAGGGAAAAAAAGATGTCATTTATCAGGACAGCATTTGGAAAGCCAGAGAGGAAAATTTTGGTTGTATTCAGTCAAAACCAATATATCTGCTAAAATATGAAGTGCTGCATAATTTGAAAACACTGAAGCTTGCAGAGTATAAATTTAAGCCTTTGTTCATTTCCCTCCCCCCTTACAAGAGACCCAGGAGACAGGTTATATAATATGTTCAACCTGTGTCTCCTAATTAGAATTTGATCTATAGAACAGACCTGTCATAGAGCCTCTAGCTGCCTCTGGTCCTGATTTCACTTTAAATAAGAATTTACAAATTTGTAGGCTCTATAAAGCCGTTGGACTTCACTGACACATGGTTTCACATACACCTGCTGACATTTGCAAATCCTTTCATTTAAAAAAAAAGAGTTTGGATTTTTTTTTAATAGTTAAGAGCTCCTAAAAATAGATTTAAATGAGTTTGTTTCTGAACTTTTAATTGGCACATTATAGCAAGAATGATCTTAAAAACTCACCAGATACTAAATTAAATTTTATTTTAGCTGCTTTTTAAAAGAATAGCTTCCTGGGTGTAGGTTTAAAATGTAATCAGCAGCTTGAAAAGCTTAGTAAAAGCTGAGGTAAGTAAGCTTTCTACTTACTTGGGCTAGGTACCATTTCCAAGGTGTTGCACATACCAATAAATGACAAGTGCAAACTGATCACTGTCCAGTTTTGTTTGTGGTGATGTTTGGTGGTAGGAGCCTTATTTACATGAGGCTGGTAAGTGGCTATGGATCCTTTTCTTCCAAATGATAGAAAAATCACACTATTGCCTCACGATGTCAGCTTTGGTTCCCACCATGCTTTGTTTTAAATCCTCTAGATTAGTTGTATAGAATAAACTGAATCTCCAAAGTCAATCAAGGAACTTGACCAACAGAAAGCCAGAAATTCTTTTCTCCACTTTTTAACAAATGAAAGGTATTGGTGGTAAAATGCCTGTAATCCCTGTCACCAATGCTGAGGGAGTGGATTACGTGAACTCAAGTTTTGAACTGCGCTGGTCAAAAGTCCACTGGGTGTCAGAGATAGGTTTGGCACCAATATGGTAAGCACCCTGGAGTGGATACCTGATTGCTTCAGAAGGACAAGAAAAATGGAGCAGAGCAGATCAATGCTTTTGTGCTGTAGGTATGCGAACTGGGTTAGTGAGTGTGCTGCACTTCCAGCCCTGGTGAGACAGTCTCAAAAAACAACAATTCTCTGCTCAAAAGCCAAAGACCAAAACCAAAACCAGAAGGAGAAGGCACACAAAAGTTACCTTTCCAAAGAACACCAAGAGGA